TTCGTTGTCTCGTTACTAAGACCTCCTCTCTCTCTCTCTCTCTCTCTCTCTTTTTGGATTAAACCAATGAGCTATGAATGTGTCAGGCTCTCCATTATAGGGCTTTTGGTATCCTTAACTTCATCAGGGTTGGTCTCATACTCTCTCTAAAATCCCAATATCTCTTTCTCTCTCTAAAAGTACATTCTCTCTAAAAACCCAATATCTCATTCTCTCTCTTAAAATTCAATCTCTCTCTAAAAACCCTAATTAAAAAGCTAGACAATTGTCTCTCTCTCTTTGGGTGAAGGTAAATAAAAAAATATTCCCCATTTCTCTCTCTAACTTTTCTTTCACTAAAAAAATATAACCCTCTCTCTAAGGTCCAAACCCTAACACTAAGTTTCTCTCCTCTATTGCCTATCTGCTCTGTGCCTGTCACAAAGCCCTCTCTCTCTCTGTCTCTCTCTCGATAAATCCCATCTTTCTCTCCTCTTTCCTCACTCTATCTCTCTCAATAAACCTTCTCTCCTCTATTGCCTCTCTGCTCTGTGCTTGTCACTAAGCCCTCTCTTTCTCTCCGTCTCTCTCTCGATAAATCCCATCTTTCTCTCCTCTTTCCTTACTCTATCTCTCTCAATAAACCATGTATCCCTCTTCTGCCCTATCTCTCTCTCTCTTCGTTTGGATTAAACCGATGAGCCATGAATATTTCAAGCTCTCCTTTTAGGGCTTATGGCCTCTCTAACTTCATCGGGGATAGTCTTAAATTCTCTTTCCATCTCTAGAAACTCATACTCTTTTTAAAATCTGAATCTCTCTTTCTCTTTCTAAAAGAACATTTTTTCTAAAAACCCAATATCTCGTTCTTTTTAAAAAATTTAATATCTCTCTAAAAACCCTAATTAAAAGGCCGGACAATCGCCTTTCTCTTTGGGTAAAGGCAAATAAAAAAACCCCTTTCTCTCTCTAACTTTTCTTTCACTTAAAAGTTAAAACACATAACCTTCTCTCTAAAATCTAAACCCTAACCCTAAGTTTCTCTGTTCTATGTCTGTCACAAAGCCCTCTCTCTCTCTATAAGCCCTGTTTTCTCTCCTCTCTCCTCGCTCTATCTCTCTGGGTAAACCTCTCTCTCTCTCTCTCTCCATTTTAGGACTTTTGGCCTCTCTAACTTCATCAAAGGTAGTGTTATTCATGGGATTGGATTTGAGGGAAAAGTTAAAAATGAGTTCCTCTCTCATTAGTGAATCGATGTTGGGGTGAGAGCTGAAGAAACCAGAATTTGATTTCTTTTATTTGCATTGATACTTTGGAGCTCTTCTTTTCTTTTTGTATTGGATTTGTTAAAGTCTGTATTGGATTTGTTAACGTCTTAAAGGCTTAGAGATGCTTGTTTATTGACCCTAAGATTTTTATGTTCACCTTCTATGCGGTGCATCAGAATTCAGTCTAAGCTCCATGCTTGTTTGTTAACCTGAAATATGATTTTTATTTATCATGATTTTAAATTTTTTAAAAACTAATTAGCATTTTTTTTCCTTGCTTCAAATAAGAAAAGCCTTAAAGAAGAGAAAGATTCTTGAAAAATGTATGGACATGAGATGGACCGGGTCAGGCCCAATAGCCCTAATTGAGCCTTTCAATTCCGGGCCAGCCTCTATATGCATTTCCGATGAAAATTCGGGATTTTAACGACCGGGTCCTATTGGGCTTATTTCCGAGCGGCCCGAAATATATTTGGGCCTTCTGGGCCTCAGGCTGGGCCGGCACAAAGCCCGCCCGTTGGTAGCCCTAGATGCAACCCTTTCTTACTCTATCAAAAACAATCACAATTAGCTTACTGTAAATTCCTTTAGGACTCTGAAGAGATGCACATAGATCACTAATTTTGTCATGCATAAAAGAATCAAAACCCAAATTTGTTTGCGATTATTGTAAATCTCATCCATACAACCCCAATGTAATTCCCAGCATATATATATGTTCATCAAAATTTGACATAAATAATTTCAACGAACTAAAAAAGACGCCCCTATAATGTTTTCCTTGCTCATGCAAGCTTTTTTTAACTTCAAGTCAATATTTCAAATATAAAATATGAACAAAAACATGGACCAAACTCGTCAAATTCATAGACATCTGCAGGTCCAATTTGGTTCGCTTTCTAAATAGATAAACTTGTTGAGAATGAGTTTTCCATAAATATATTGCATAAGAAAGAATACAAGTTTGTTGTAAAACAAGAGTTAGGAGATAAACTAGAGAGAGAAAGTATTATGAGAGGCATCACATGTTGTAATCTTATCATGTGACACTAGAGGGCTCTCAAAGAAATAAGAGCCGCATTCTTGTACCCAACTCACAAAGAAATTTAAGAGAGAGAAATAAATTTTAGAGAGAGATAAAGAGCTCATGAAAGGGTATTAAAGCCTCTCTAAACTATTTTCCCACATATAGCTACTTAAAGGAAATTACAAGAGAAACGTGTAGAGAGAAAAAGACCAAATGTTACATCTCAATAGCCACTCGTCACTCTCTTCCTGTGGCTCTTCCTTTTTCCTTCTAAATTCATTTGTTTTTTTTTAAAACACCTTTTAAGTCGAGTAGAAAATGAAAAAACAATTTAAAAAAGGGAAAGGTTTCCTTACTTCTACAATATATAAGATATTCTTCCCCTCATCCAGCCGTACCATTTAGATCAAGTGAGCAATTGACTATTTGATCTAAGACCGACGTCTTAGAGTATTTTTTTTAATTTTTTTTTACAAATTATATGAATATAAAATTTGGTATGCCCTATTACCTCAATAGGGCGCACCTAAAAAAAATATTAGAATTAATTTTTTGATAAAATATAATAATCAAAATACTTCGTGAAGCTTTTAGGGGTA